ACCGTCATCGCGTAGCCCTAGATCTGGCGAAAGGTGTAAATACATACTTTGTAGAACAAATTAGATCAAATATAATAATTGATATTGCTAAGGTGTTTGGTGTGGTGCACTGCACACTCTGACATTTGGTTTGGTTTGCACAGGATATTTCAATCTGGGAGTTTATGGAATACTTAGTACCTGACACAGGTCTCCACTGTGACCCTTTTGGAGCTGATAGTGAGACAGTATTAGTGCATATTAATCTGGCATACCTGATACGACCCGTGGACAGCACCTCGTATCAAGTATAGCAGTAAATCAGATTTGAGAGCAGTGTACCAATACAACCAGCAACACGACGCTGGCATCAGCTGAGCTATTCGCTGGCCTCGTTGATCGAACCACGAGGATGTTGCCAGTCGAACGTCTAAGAACGAGCCAAATATCGACAAACTCCCTCCCCCTCCTCCCGTCCTTCCTCATCAACCAGCAACAATACGGACAGCAAATATATGCAGGCTCATAAAAAATCCAAGCCTATACTGAAGGCAGCAGGGTGGAGTACTGAACAAGTTGCACAGTTTACGAGAGAGAGTCATTAAAGAAAATGTTCGCGCGAAGTCCTGTCCAAGTGCAACGACAGTATAACAACTTTTGAAGAAGGATGGAAGCTGTGACCATGTGATTTCACACGCTGCAAAGCTTTTGTGGGGCCCTGGCTACATATGTCCTCAACACTGCCTCGGTCGGCTGGGAACGGGATGAATACAGATTTCTCTCTCCAATCCGGTAGAGTGGTCCGACACTATCTTAGGATTTGATATGTTATTTAGAAAGGATCGATATGTAATGCATCTACAAGGTCAACTGTGAAGCGCGGACTATGATGTCCTCTACTGCGACGTCGGCTTCGTAGCTAGCTAGTGGGGGGCCATATTGAGAATATCAGAAATAGTTGTTTGCGCAGGCGGCCGTTTTAATCGGTAGGTGATCTTTGCCCATGCCGCCAACTCATTTTGTGTCAGGCCTGGACAATCTCCAGCCTTCTTGATGATTCCTCGCTTATGATGAATTTTTAGCCAGGCCCAGAAGACCGTACAGTAACTTTGTTGTGTTGTGAAGTCTGTATGACTGGCTTGGAGATGTCCGCGCCAAACACCCGGATAATACCTCTCGAAGACGATTGTATCATTCCGTTCAGGATATTAATTTTTTAGTAGTACCGGATTGGAGAGAGAAGTCTGTATTGTCAATCCCTAAAAAAACCGATGTCTCCCTAGAAGGAATTCTAGTTCCGACATATGTCGACACTTGATATAAGTAAAAAAAAAAAAAGAGACTAGATTCTCTGTGGTACTATGAATACATTAATTTATATTTACTTATACTATTGACAATGATGAACATCAGTGTTAGGGGGAATCGGAAGCTGTATCTTATATACAGTCTGTAAGTACGATTTCACCGTCGTCTGTCTGGAAGTTACAGACAACGACGGTGAAATCCGCAAATCTGTCATGCACACTTGAAGTTTACAACACAAAATTTGTACTAGTACAAGTTAAAGTTATAACCATTGAAAGAGTAAATTCCATTGACTGATCGCTACGAACAGCATCGCAAAGTATGACCTTGCGTCTGCCCTTTCATACTGCTGTGAAGCTATCATACCGTCAGCGGCCTTGGAAGACTTCAAATTTGTGTCAATGAATTGGCTCTGGCGGATTTTCCTGTTGTGGAATCAAGAAAAGGACTGCTATGGAGGATGGCGTTCAGAGGGTGGAGAATTTCGCCGTCGTTGTCTGTATGCATTAGGGATGGGGACGTAAACTGCTTTAACGTAAATTTTTGCTTGTTCACGTTCCCGTCAAAAAGTTCCCGTTGGCGTTTTTCCTTACGTACATTCCCGTACAAATGACATTAAGTTGAGGAGGTTTATTTATTAATTTTCAAAAGTGCCGACCCGCCATAGTTGGCGACGCCAACAGCAACAACTACAGCGGGCGCAGCTCCACGCAGTCTCAGTACTGTCAACTGAAACCTCTATTTCAGAATTAATCTGTTTATTCTCTATAGTGGGTTTGAGATTGACGTCAAGTTACGTAAAATGTACGGCAAAATTCTGGCCCAAATTTTGTGTACGGGAACTTTACGTACGTTAACGTCCCCATCTCTAGTATGCATAGGTTCACGGATCTGGCAAGCGTGTGTAAGAGACGTGAAAAGCAAATCGCGCTCTATTCAGTTGTCCAAGTGTCACATAACAAACTTGTCTTGGAAATGCTGGGAATCACGTTTGCATCGCACACAAACAACTATGAGGGCCAAGATAAGCAGTCTTGTCCCTGCTCGGAGCAGTGCTCCGACCATAGCTCTTCGTTTCTTCAAAAAGTAATTCAGTTACTACGGGGCTGGTATTCGGATAAAGTCGGATCCAACGCATGATGGTGAGATAAGTTTCGGGTTAAGAATTGTCATCACCATCAAACCAGCCACGTTTCTGTGTAAAGCTTAACTCGGTAATCCCTGAGAGAGCTCGGAATGCTTGTACGCAGATTCCCCTTTACACTTATTATATATAAACTGACTGCGCTTCACGATCTACTGCAGTTCACGGTGGCTCATGAATGGGACTCCTCTCCTGCCAGCCTATTATATAGCGGCCAGCTGGAGCATTCCCGAGATGATGAGTCCCATCACGGGCTGATCTCCTCGCTTCGCAAACACCTGTGAGTTGTAGATCCAGAACGGCATGTTCATGATAACGGAGATTTTTGACAGGTCGATACAGCCCGTCCACCCCAGTTCGGAATTTACTTTGTCATACTGTAGAAGGGTGGGCTTTGTCGCTTGTCTCGCTATGCATCTTGATCGTGTTCTTGTGGTGACGGTGGTAGTTCTTCTTACCATTACCAGTGCTCTCGTGGTGCCCCAGGAGGACAGCGTTTCACACGCTTTATTCACTGGTCGGGATGGTGTAAACCAGGGGAGATCACTTCGGGTCACTCAGGCCGACGAGAACGACAGCTCCACCATTCAAGATCGGACTGATGCAGAAGAGAGGGCCAATCTGATATCGACATTTTTCTCGAAGATAGGGGACCACGTGCCTCTATCTTGGAAAACTAGGTTGTGGCTTGAGCGAAGCAAACCGGTCGATTATGTCAAGGAAAAACTGGGTATGAAGGGGCTGACAGGAGCTCGACTAATGGAGCACGAGAACTACCCACGTTTGGTGTGGTATGCGGACACACTTGAAGGCTATAAGATATGGAAGCTGGTCCGCAGAGATTACACAACAACCTATTGGTGGGACAGGAAAGGGCTCGACCAAATGGTGTCTGCGAAGAAGGACATGACAAACGACGAAATTTTCGCTCAGCTAAACAAAATTAAGACCACACCAGCGTTTAAAAGCTACAAGCGCTATGCTATTGCGTTTGACGATCACATCATCAATATGTTTGGCTCCGGTTATTACCGACCAACTCGGTTTATCGATGAGAACGCTACGCCGGTGGAAAAGATGGCAAGGACACAGATTTGGGTGGAAAAGGAAAGACCTCCGGAGTATGTGAAGGAATTTTTGGGGCTATTGAGAGCAGACGCGACGGAGCTCAAAAAGAACCAATTCTACGTGTACTTTATTGCAGAATATACGAAGATCCAGGAGGCTAAAGCTTTGGCTAAATCCATCCTAAAGGCTCAAGCAAAAGCAAAAGCGCAAGCAAAAGCGCAAGCAAAAGCACAAGCAAAAGCACAAGCAAAATCACAAGCTAAAGCTAAACCAAAGACCAATTAAATGTGGAATTTTGGGGCACGCTACACTTTTTCGAGATGCGGATGGTTAGAAGTAGAGTACGTTGTGGTGACTCAAGTATAAGAAGAAATGGATAAAGCATTTATGGAAAAAAAGTAGTATGGTATAGTGTTTTTCAATGATGATCCCCCGGACTCATGAAGCGCCACAACTTATCTTTTGTCAGTGTTCGAAATCAATAAGCTTGTATATGTAATCCCACGCACAACTTAAGTAAACTATTTGCATATAACGACTAATGCAGAAATGTTACTCTGCTATTCTGCGTGTTGAAGAAAAGTGATGGTGTCGGCATATTTCCTCGATTCGACGTGTTATTATGTTTTCTTATGATATTACCTTAGTCGAATCGCGCGAATTTTATCGCCTTGGCCACACTCGGGGCTGTGATGAGGTGGGTGCTTCGGACTTAAATACCGTAAAGTCCGGATTGAGTGAGACAAACGAATTGAGTGCAACGTGCGTAAAAAATAGAAAGGAACAATTTACAAAACCCAGTACAATGGTACTTTTTTACCACGAAAATGTGCCGGGTTTAATTTTTTTATTTTGTTAGGCAAAGATCTTTATACGATTGTCGCACTCAATCCGGACTTTACGGTTCGATTTTACGTCGATTTGGTCACTTCCCCCCAAAAGATGCATGAATGGGCTAGTGCAATAACAATAACCGCATTATTCTTGTTCGCGATGCTTCTCAACTGGCATGTGAAACAGGGTCCAGATAAATCATGAAGTTATATTTTGATGGTTGTTGCGATTGCGAAGAGGACATAGAGGTAATTAATAAGTATGCTCCAAACTGTCTGCTATCTAACGTTTAGTTAACAAAAAAATACTTTATACCGTCATCGCGTAGCCCTAGATCTGGCGAAAGGTATAATGCTGCTTGTAAACAGCTTTTCATCAGGTATTAATAAAGCACGGTGATTATGTACATACATGTAAGGTATTGGTGTGGTGCGCAACCATGAAATCTAGTCTGATTCAAATGAATATTTCAAATCTTGGAATTTTGGAATATCTACCAGACTTTTCAAGGTCTCCATTGTGACCCGTTCGGAGATGATTTCTGATGAAACCTGCTCAAAACGGTCGGACACGTGATTTCATGTCGATATGTATCACTAACCTCTACTGCCAGTAGGAAACCCTTGGTTTGACCACACTTGACTCTTTATTCTATCATCGCTATGTATTAACTTTCAAGTTTGACAGTATGATTAAGGTATCGTACAAAAAATAAAGTCTACCAGTTGGTTAAATTGAATACAATCAAGTATGACATGGAATCACGATTTAAAAGCTCAACTGAGTCGTGTTTATCTGTATACTACACAAGTTTGAGGATCTGGCAAGCGTGTGCGCGAGACGTGTAAAGCAAATTCGCGCTCAGGTCGGAAATTACTGTCAAATAACAAACTTGACTTGGAGATGTTGGGAGCCACTCTTTGTATCGCACACAATCACGACTATAAGAGCCAATGATGGCCAGTTCTGCCCCCGCCCCTGCCAAAGCTCTTCGTTATCTCTAATGCGGAAGTTATTCAGTAAAAGCAATGCATAATGTAGGGACTGGTTTTCGGTTAAAGTCGGATTCAACATATGAGATTGGTTTTAAGATAAGTAGTCCACAGAATCACCATCACCATCAAAAGCGACCATTTACTCTTTCTTAACCGACAAACCTGTCTGTCTGTCCGTCTGTGCGTCCGTCCTTCCTGCAACCTCTTTTACCGATTGCACTCCACTTTTAGCCTTCTTTGAATCTTCCCCTTAACAGTGGACACGCACCTACGATATTGATTTGCATCACTATCCTGACTGCATGACGTAAGCAAGTGGCACGAAAACACGCAAATCTGATTGGCTACACATTAAATAGCAAGGAATCGTACCTAAGCACGAGAACCTGCGACACTGACTCTAATAAGGAGTAAAGGACACGCGTAGACACCGAATTGTTCATCGATAGACAAAAGGAGGCGGCACTGATAGACACACATAAACGTGAGCGGAGGGAGAAACTACGGAGCACCGAACTTCTGAGCACCGGGACATAATTTTTTTTTAGAAAAGTCACTAACACATTAAATTTGCACACGATTTCTGGGATTTATCCATGTGCTCAATTTGGGCGAAGAGAGAGCTACAAATAGGTATATCGCTTAACTCGGTTTGTGTACCCCAAACTGTGACCTATGTAACCAGTTACCGGTTATACCGACCAGTCTGATTATTGTGTAACCAGCTACCGGTTATACCGACCAGTCTGATTATTGTGTAACCAGCTACCGGTTATACCGACCAGTCTGATTAATGTGTAACCAGCTACCGGTTATACCGACCAGTCTGATTATTACATAACCGGTTACCGAATACACTGACCAGTCGGATTATTGTGTAACGAGCTACCGGATTTACTGATTACAATGTAACCAGGCCTACTTCTCGAGTTCTTTTGGAAACTTTGCCTAAAAGTAAGGGTGGATATGGTGTTCCGCTGCGGGGAACATTTGGTGACTACTTTCGCCTACAAAAGTGTCTATAGTCGGCCTAGACTCAATCGGTAGCACGATCAAGACCGATTTGATCCTACTGATTGGACGAAAGGAAAACAATTCTTCCAGGAGCCAAACATACCGAATGGATGTAAACGCTCTGCGCACTTGTATGACTTTAAATAGAACTACCATTTGCTATAGGAAAGCTGTCATGTGTACTGAAAATTTGGCACGATAACTTTCTTTATTTGTAAGCATGCAAGCTCTTGCCTGATCTACGATTGGTAGACTCG